AATTACTATAGTACCACTATTTAAAGAATGTCGTTCTTGATTTCATATTTATTAAATTTTATTATTGTGTCAAAAAGAATACTTTATTCATATTATGTGAGATTTGAACTGGTTTTGGACCTGTTCTGAACTAGTCCTACTAGTCCCTAAAAAGTCCGGTCCAGACCTGGTCCGAACTAGTTCCCCGTGGACCATTTAACATCCCTAATGATTTTCTGATGGAGTTCCTTAACAAGGTAATAATTAATTTACATGCTACTGACAAAAATGTATCACAACAAGTCATCAATCTTTTTTCCTGATGTAGTCGACATTGAAAGATATTCGAAAGATTATAAAAGAAATGATGTTTGATGATAATTATGATCACAAAAAAGATCATGATAAGGATTATATCATTTATGCCATATATTCATTGTAAGTATTTCGGTTCTTGTGACTTGCACATATATGTGTTGAATTGGGTAAATTTATTTTATTAGGTTAAGAGAAATTGAAAACGGAAGCTTAAAAGTAGCTAATTTTGAGGCTTGGTTTAATTGTCACGTGTGGAACCCAATCCTCGATCAAGCCTTTGGTGATATGGATGTGATAACCATCGTCAGGTAATTTTTCTTTAAAAATGTAACTTGTTTAATGTATCTGACAAGGATCCTTTTCTAACAATCTAGAGGGGAAAGCACAAGCTTGGCATCAGGAACGCGAAAGAATGCGAAAAGACAATTAGGTGAACGGTGGAAAATGGGTCGCAGAGGCGATTGGATCCTAAGGTCCGTCAGTAATGGTGAGAAAGATGAGTTCGGGGTCGGGGAAGCCAGGAAAAGTTGGGTAGATGAACAGGGAACGAAATTTCTCAAAGAGGCAGGGTTAAAGCTACCCAAAGCCCTCAAAGATATGCTGGTAAAATTAATGGCAAAAACATGTTGGGATAAAGAGAGATGTGCGAAAATTCAAACGGTTGGAGTAATCCACGCTGGTACGTTCTTCCTACTTCAGCAAAAAAATCAATCTGTCAAACTAATATCTTTAATTAATAGGTTTGATGATTATGATGGTATGCCTGGACAACCCGAAGGGATACATCTGTAGGATCCGACGTAGTGAACCAATGGAAGTTCCAGATAATGCAGAAGAATTTCCTGACATTTTGGACATTTTAGCATCGGTTTTAAATATAAAGGTTAGATTTGTGCTTTTCTTCTTGTAGTGATTATACAATATATGTGCTAATATAAACTGATATATTCATAAATTTAGGCTGTGGTTCGAGAGACGATGAAGGCGGTACATACAAAAAAACAAACCACAAAATCATTTAAAGGAGCTGGGTTTCGAAAGCAACCATTAAACAAGGGTGAGTTCCAAATATCTCCGTGCTTAACAACACCTAAGAAGGCTAAAATATGTGCAGAAGCAAAAGCCCAGGATTCACATCCATCATCGCCATGTCCTGGATCTCCCAAGTCTGAATTACCATTAATCTAGTTTAAGTTTTTAATTGTTTTTATATCGCAGGACGTGAGTTCAATCCGCCTGTAATTATCATAATAAAGTTCATAGTTCATCTTATTCTAGAATACGTGCGTGTATGCGGGTGGAACGGTGTGGATGTATATATATTAGAATATATTTGCGATTTTGATTTTTTGACGCTGAAATATATGTACCATACCACGAAAATTATTCTGAATTTTGTATACATTGTATACATGGTTAAAGTTTACATCATACAAATAGTCTTATAACACAAATAATACATAAGCAAGATTCTGTCAGTTCAAAAATATGTGATTTATTTATATTATCGTGCTATTTGATCAATAAATCCAGCTTTAGCCATCCAATTTCAAAGGCATATCCCAACCTAGTCTAATCGCTAATGGATCGTCGATTGGCTTAGTGAAATCAAAAACTACGAAATTCCGATCTCGCAGATGCTTGTCAATAATCTTGGATGCCTTTTTCGAGTCATCTGTATATTGACGCACGATTCTATGGATATCGTCCCTGCTTCTACTCCCTCGGAACATAACTAGATGGGAAATATTTTCACGAATTATCTTTGGCACGGCTTGATATTTCTGAGTTACATATATAGGTGAGATATTTTGATGCCGACCACTAATAAAGTAAGGAACGATGCGTTCTTGTATTTTTTTTGATTCGGCACAGAGATCTTTGAATACAACAACCGTACTTCGATCTGGAGAAAATTTAGCCATATCAGGAATCTTATCAGGTGTTATTCTTTTAAATGTGACATCTTCTCGATATGGCTTTGGGCTATTCGCAAAAATCTGAAAGCTGGTTTGTACTAGTTGTCACTTCGCTCAAAATGCTTGCCTATTAATACAAGGTCATCATTTTTAATATACCGCTGACCTTTTTTCCCCTTGAACATACGTTGTAGTTTGTTACCAAGCATAAGATTTATAACCATGTTA